CTTTCCGCCTTGGACAAAATTCATAGGGGGATGTATAAGGCTGCATCTGCATTACAGAATTAATGCACTTTGACATTTCTTTAAAAGCCATGGGTCAATGCTTTGGAATTCTGAGATTTGTAATTTGGTGAGATATTTAGCCTTCTCTGTCACAGAGATCTCATGGTGCAACAAACTACAAATCCCAGGATTCCATAGGATGGAGCATGGCATTGAACTGAAACAGATACACTATATCATGACTGGTTTGCCTTCAACTATTTAGTATCAGTTCTTCCCCCCCCCCACCCCTTTGCCTCTCCTCTTCTCTTCCTAACCTAACTTGACCCGGAGATTATGCTCAGCTCTTTCAAGTATCAATACCTACGTCTCTTTCCCTGTTTGTGCAAGGGAAGGGTGCGTAGCTGTCCAAGATGGCCCTGATTATGCAGGAGGTCACCCACAAAGCTCATGACATGTCGCTGGAGGGGTGTTTAATTGCCATGGCAATGCTGAAATCCCTCTCTCGCTGCCCACGAAGAGTGACCTGGAACGGAAAACGCTCTGGAGCATCACACAAAATAACAGGTTGCTGTGACGGTAAGGCGTCAATCTCAGTCAAGCAAAGGCATTTCGGAAGATGGAGGGGAGGCTGTCGGTTGTGATGAGAGGGCCAGCAGCCACGGTTGATACATGCCCAAGAACTGTGCAAGAATCCTGCCCGTGGTCCTGAAATAATTACAATAATTACCTTGAGTAATTGCAAGACATAGGATAACCCCTTCCTTGCAGCTCACCGCATTGTCCCGTACTGTGACAACCTCTTTAGACTCTGTCCTTTTCCTTCATCCTGCTGTTGCCAGGCAGTGGCAATGTGCATGCACACCGGTGGACACACTTTGCAGTTGCTTTTTGTCCTCCATAAAATTCTGTCTGAGTTAAACTCCTAAAACAGCCTTTATCTGAGAGCAGGGCAAGGGGATGCATTCTGCTGGCAGGCAAAGGCAATTTCATTTGGAGAGGTCTTTGGCTTTCAATATGTTGCAGCAGGTGGAGCTTTTAATGGGTGTTCATGGGTATATGTTTTGTTTCTATTCTAAATGTGTTTTTAAAATGGTTTTTAATTTGTGTTTTCTAAACAGCCTTTTGGTTTAATTGCAATATCTAAGAGATCTTTGTCTGCAGTAATCACATTTCTGCAATATCTATCAACCACGTATTTGAAGGATCAAGAGAAAAGAGCTGAGTGCCCTTTTCAAGGTAGTAACATTATTTATTTAATTTTATTTGCATATGGCAAAAGGAGGTGGACACCATGCGCTATGGTCTGTCATGGTTCGGTGGTTATTAATAGTCGTTACAAAATAATCTCCTTTTCTGTAGGTTGCCACATTGCAGATTTTATCCTTGAACAATTGTCCAGCTTCTCTTTGCTTTCCTTCCTCAAGTTGAGGATGAAGTCCTTTCTGGGCCTGAGCCAGCTTTTCCCCATTAAGGAAATATAGGTAACATATTTATGCATTCCAAGCAAATGATGGATCATTCTGAAGCGAGACGATTATGGCTGTATGATTTATCATCTCTCATTCTCTAGCATATGCTCCCTCTTTCCCTCCTTCCTCTAGTTAAAGTATGGAATGCAAGTGATGTACTTTTGACAAGATGGATTTCGACCTCAATGTACCAGAGTTTAAATGAATCAATTGTAGTCAATTTCCTCTACCTATCATCTTCAGAAAAGCCAGGGGGACAGATGTTCCTCTTCCTAGCCCTTGTCCCCTTCCCTTTGGGCTGGAAAATTCTCAGAAAAGAAAAATCTCTGTTGGGGTTCCAACAGATCTGCACTTTATCAGACTTGCCCCCACTATAAAACAGAACATGTTTATGTCATGCCTTACCTGAAGAAGGCCTTCTCAGATGATGAAGGAGTGTCAGGGAGACATTCCCTAGCTGGAGCCATAGGAAAAGCACAGACTGGTCCATCCCAGACACACCTGCAGATTTGGAGGAGAAGATGGAAACTCTGGGACCTGTTGTGCATCACCGCTTAAAGGGCAGAGAACAGAAACACCAGAGACGCTTTTCTCTGCCAATTAAATGACACCAGATGAGCTAATTTATTGCTGGATATAAGTTATCATATACAGTTGGCCCTCCATTTTTGCAGGGGATCTGTTCTGGAGCCCCCCACCCCAGTGAAAATGGACATTCGTGAATATTCAAGCCCTATAGGTTTGAATGGGGCGTGCCCCCATTGGCGCACACATGTACACACCCTCAAGAGCGTGCCCCATTGTTTTAAATAGAGCTCGCTCTTCTGTGAATGTATAAAACCATGGACATGAAGTCCACGAGAATGGAGGAGTGACTGCATACCCGTGTATAAGTCAACCTTATGTATTAGTTGAGGGCAGGTTTTGGATCCAAACTTGTAGATTTTGATATGACCCATGGGTATGTTGAGGACAAAACTTAGGGGTCACCACCATTTTCCTACCCAGGCATTCAAAAAGGCCTTTTGCCACTCTACTCAGAGAAAGGGATGCTTTTTTGATAACAGTTAAGGTACACTACTTATATTGACCCATGGATAAGTTGACCCAGTTTTTTGAGGTTGGTTTTTGACTAAAATTTCTAGGCTTATACACGAGTATATACAGTAGCTCAACCAAAGCTGTTCTGGTACTGCATACAACAGATCCTGGTAACTTTGTTTGATATCCTTGTTTCTTGCCTATCTCTGATCTTTGGCTTGAATCTGGACTACTCTCTCTGGCAATTCCCTTCTTGGTTTTGGACTCGACTCGGGACTGTTTCCTTTGTTTGGTTACCTTTGGACTGTCTGGATAATGCTTCTGCTTCCATGGAGACTGGTATCACCTTGGGACTGGACTGGTTTTTCCCTGGTCGCCTTCTGCAGACTGGAAGTGTATGTTCCTGGGCACTTGTGCACTTTGAAACAGGAAAGTTTATGAGAACGATACTCATGTATATTTCAGGTAGAATGTCAAATACTTCCAGGTCTTTAGTAGAACATTATTTCCCTCTGTATAATCTGATAGAAAGAAAAATCCTTCTATGTAGAGAGAACATCCTAGGAGAGTTTGACTCTACAGTCCTCAAGGGAGTTTTTACTCCAAATGCATTGGGATTTTTATGATATTTCCCTCTTAAATCTTCCAGCTGAGTACCCACTCAAGACTTGCTTCTTGTCCTGAGTCTTCCTGGTTCCATCAGGCATATAATGCAAATCAGTTCAGTCACTTGAAATAAGTTTATCTCCGCTGCTGGTGATCCAAAAGGAGGCAATTTCTTGAGCATCTTTTTTCTTCCAAATGACTCCCAATTGCATCCTAGCACTCTGGGCATCAATTGAAAGGTGTCTGGATGCACGATTTTCACTTCTTCTCTGATACAGAGGAGAAAATATGAACTGAAATGTGAGGGTGAGGTTGGGAGCTATAGATGATGATATGTTCCTTTCTTTATTATTAGAAAGAGAAACTAAAAGACCAGCAGGTGATGATGATGGAACGTCTTAGACGAATAGCTTGCTATTTGTGGTTGTACGATGTAGGACTCAAAGGCTGGAGTCCTCTTGGTGTCTAAGGCTGCATCTGCTTGCAGAAATAATGCAGTTTGACACTACTTTAACTGCCATGGCTCAATGCTAGGGAATTCTGGGATTCGTAGTTTTGTGAGATACTTAGCTTTCTCTGCCAGAGAGCTCTGGTACCACAACAAACTACAAATTGCATTCCATTTTTATTGTCTTACTTCTGAAATAGTTCAAACCGATTTTATTACAGGCTGCCCAGAGAGCTTACAATACTGGGTGGAATGTAAATATTTTAAACAAATAAAATGAAGAAATCATGTCCTCTTCTTGAAGGGCTGATGAGTGTGGGAGGCGACCGTCTCTAATCTGGCATCTTCCAGATGCACCGGACTCCAATTCGAGTCACATGTGAGAGGCTCCAGGTTGGAGGCCTCTGGGTTAAAGCTTAGCAAGGATGAAAATGCAAATCGAGTCCTTGCTCAGCCCAAGTAGATCATCATCATTGCCTCTCTTACATGCGGGTCAAGCACTTCTGGTCAAGGAGCTTCACGCATCTCGCTAAGAACAGGTATTTTGACACACCGGAGATTTGCATTTTAATCAGCGGTGCAAAAGCAAAGAGAGAGGAGGGATCTCTCTTCGGCTGCAGCCCAACAGCTCCAAAGGCCTGGAGAGCTGGTTCTGGCTATTATCTACTTGAGAGGAGAGGCATGTGATGGCAGTGACAGGAGGAGGCAGCACCAGGTTAAACGCAAAGCAGAAATTGGAAAAATGGAGTCCAGCCAACACATTGCCTGCTTCAGCCCTGGCATAAACTGAAGCCCTGGGATTTAGGAATGGGTTTTTATGGGTGCATTTGCATGCACTTTGAATTGCATTATTATCAGATCATGGCAGTGGGCCTTCCCCCATTTTGTTGCTGTTGTTAGCTGCCTTTGAGCCTTCTTCAGCTAGTCTCTGGGATGGAAAATTGCCCCCCCTCCCGATCCCCCACTGAAGTTGGCCATCCCTACTATTGACTGATATTTTCAGATTTTGCCTTTCCTTCCTCTTAATTCGTCCTGCTGACCTTGTTTCAGATTGCCCCCAAAGAAAGAAACAAGCCCTGTATGGTTAGAAATGAGAGCCAGCCTCATTGCTGGAAGGTCATTGCTGCAGAATAGCTCCCTGATATGCCATAATAAGATTATTTTGTTTTATTTTATTTTATTCATATGCCACCTTTCTCCCAGGTTGAGACCCATTGAGGCAGTTTCCATAGCAAGATTGCGTCCTTCGCTATGGGAGCTTCACACACTGTCACTGTTATGGCGTGTCTTTGAGAGGTTTCCAAGGTATCTTGTGAGCTGCCTTGGGTCCCTTTCTGGGAGAAAGGTGGCATAAAAATGAAATAAATAAGGTATAGGGACCCTAAAATGACTCTATCATGGGCCCGCCCCAGGAAAAAGATGGGATATAAACAGCCAGCATGGCACAGTGGTTTGAGTGTTAGATTGGGACTCTGCAAACCAGGGTTCAAATCCTGGCTTGGCCATGCAAACCCACTGGATGACCTTGGGCAAGTTGCACTCTCTCAGCCTCAGAGGATGACAATGGCAACCCCCCTCTGAGGACATTTGCCAAGAAAACTCCATGATGGGGTCACCTTGGAGTTGCCATCATTCAGAAATGACTTGAAGGCACATAATAGTAGCAATAACATGGTTAGAAATAGGAAAAGGCAGGATGAGGTTTAGACTAGGTGTGTCAGGTGTCTTATGCAACCACTTCCTTTGAATCAAAAAGTGTCCCAAATGAACATTCAGCTCAGAAATGTGTCACTTGATGGGTTGGAAGAGAGGATGACAGCATGGTTTCCAAAAGCTCCGCATTGTTTCTGTGCTCTGGGTTTAGGAGCGGCATTTGAGACTGTTTGCTGAAGGAGCTCCTCGCAGGTGCAGCCCCCTGGATGTGAAATGACAACTCCCAACGATAAATGTTTTATTTTCACTTTGAAGATGGCTCCTTGGCTGTCTCAGTGCCAGATTCCATTAACCTAAAAGACTTAACTTCCCAAATGCTAATGACAGCCACCGGTGTCCACAATGGGATTGTGCAGCATTTTGTTATGACTGCCTGTCAGCTGCATTTGCAGTGATTTTTCAGACAGTCCCACGCGGCTTCTTAGGAGTTACATTGGCTTGGAAGCAGAGGTTGGACAAAGACAGACCTCCTTCTATGGGTCAAAACTGATAACTGCGGTGCCAGAGGAAAGTACCTTGCAATATCACACTTTTGGTTTAGTGGGTAGACAAAATCCAAGGGTCCTTCTCAATTCCCTGTGCCAGGTATTCACCCAGACATTCACACATCAGAATATATGTATATCCATATAGATATATGAGAGCATATATATATTCTTGTTTATCCTACTTTTCATCTTTTAAAAAAAGTAACAATGCATGAATAGTGTAAAAAAAATGGGATTAAAAAAAACATAGTCCCACTCCCTAGTTGTGACCCAAGCCATGCTCAAATTAGTCCTTGGAAAAGTTCCTTTTTTGGAATACTACTCAAGCATGGAGGATTTATTTATTTATTTATTTATTTAGGTTAGGAACAACCTTTCCAATCTCTGCTACAACCTACCATGGGGAAGTTCGCTTTTGGAAGAGCTGTGTATGGCACATCTGGATACTGACAAGCTGGAATGTGTCCAGAGGAGGTTGATCAAGATGGTCATTGTCGAAACCAAGTCTCATGAGGAATTGCATAGGGATCTGGGGATATTTAGCTTAGAGAAGAGAGGTACAGATGGTGTAGTGATAGCCAGCATGGTATAGTGGTTTGAGTGTTGGACTACGACTCTGGAGACTAGGATTCGATTCTCAGTTCATCCATGAAACCTACTTGGGAAAGTCACACTCTCTCAACCTCAGGGGAAGGCAATGGCAAACCTCCTCTGAACAAATCTTGCCAAGAAAACCCCATTATAGGTTCACCTTAAGGTTGCCATGAGTTGGGAATGACTTGACACCCAACAGACACACATTTATAGATGGTGATAGCCAACTTTAAATATCTGAAGAGATGTCGGGTAGGAGATGGAACAAACTTGTTTTCCGCTGTTTCAGAGACTGGAGCCAAACCAATGGGTTGAAATTACAAGAACAGAATTTCACCTAAACATTAGGAAGAATGTCTTGACTGTAAGAGCTGTTGACAGTGGAATATGTGATGGACTCTCCACTTTTGGAGGTCTTTAAACAGAGTTTGGGTGGGCATCTTTCAGGAGTGCTTCTGTTGTATATTCCTGCATGGCAGAATGGGGTTGGATTAGAGGCCCCTTGCAGTCCCTTGCAACTATGATGCTATGAAATTTGGAAGGGATCTTGTGCTGCCAAGCACAAAAAGCGAGGCCAATGGCTACCAGGCTGAAGGAAACAGACATAATGTCTTTGGAGGGCTGTCAGAGCAACACCTAGCATGATCAGAAGAGATGGAGGAAGGGAGAGAGAAAGGTGGGCATTGCCTTGATTTTGTACCAGGGAAGCACAGATGCTCATCCACTAAAACTAATTAACTGGATGGAAGCCGCCCCCTCATCTGGATGGAGGACTGGTGGCGAAAGCTCATTTTTGCAGCAGTCTATTGGCTCTGATAGCTGATCTTATCTAATTAGATTATCTCCCTAATGACTCTGAGTTTGGTGGCAGAGGATTTTGCATGTGTGCGTCTGTGTTCACCTTCCTCCACTACATTTGCAAAGAGTTAGGACAAAAGGGAAGGAGATGGGTTTCACCTAGAGAGCAGCCATCTTGAAGTCCTGTTTTATAATAGATGTCACCATTTCTGGGACGGATGTTGAGGCTCAAAGCCACATGGTGATTCCATGGCCTACAGGAGAAACATGGGTACATTTTGAGGGTGAAAACCACCACATTTTTTGGGGGGGGGAGGGGGAGTGATCTTGAGAATTTGGGAGGATTGGAAAAAGCTGGTAGGGGGGTGCCATAAAACCCCTGGAGAGACAACGTACAGTCTGTAGGCTGCAAGGATTCTTGCACTGTTGCGGGTTAAATGCACAGGTTTCTTATGCAGAATACAACAGGTAGTATGGATCTAGGTATCTTTCCTCCTCATACTAAGGGACTACTTGTCAGTGGCAGCTCCCATTCTGAACGTGAAATGTTGATATGAGATACCTACTTCTCTGTTCAGAAGTCAACTATGGCCTCATCTACATCAGCCAAAGAAAATGTCCTCCCCCTCGTTCCTACTATGGTGTGTCCAGATGATGTAGGGCCAAATCTCCAGTTCTGGTGTGAACTTTCTGGACAATGTCCAGCCAGTTCAGCACTGAACCCTTAATACACTTGGGAGAAAAACTCATAGTTTTCTCTGGATCTTCTCAGAAGATCTGGGACCTGTGTTGCAACATCAGGCAGCTGTTTGCACATGCATCCCACTGTGCCATACAATGCCGCCATCACTGATGTGAGGTCAGAAAAAGTCTGATGCTGGGCACCTTGTTTTGATCTCAGAGGGAGCAACTTTCACCAGCAATGGTGGTTCTGGGTGGCATAGCAGGATGCATGTACAAAGAGCCACCCAGCATTGCAATGGGAGTGCCAAGAGAACAGGGAAATATTGGGGCAGCTCTGGGGCCTGAATACTCCAGGCTGCTCAATGATAAACAGATTGCAGTTGATAAATAGATTGCACTTTCTAGGTTTGACTTCCTTCCTACAAAAAGGTAGTTGGTCTTGTCTTTTCTTTGCAAGAGATAGCCATGTATCTCCATAATGGCTACAGTCACACACACACACAGATGTCGATTCTCACCTCGGCCATGGAAACCCACTGGGTGACCTTGAGCAACTCACACACTCTCAGCCTCAAAGGAAGGCAATGGCAAATGCCCTCTGGGCAAATCTTGCAAAGAAAACCCTATGATAGGCTCACCTTAGCATCACCACAAGTTGGAAATGACTTGAAGGCACACAACAACCAGGGGCACAGATCTCTCTGACAGAGAAGGCTAAATATATCACAAAACTACAAATCCCAGAATTCTGTAACACTGAGCTACAACAGCTAAAGCAGTGTTAGATTGCATTCTTTCTGCATGGGGCAAATCCACTGACACCTCATTGCTGGTTGCTTTGGTTTTTATGTCACTGTAGAGATATGACATGCCTCATGGCTGGAGAAATATCTTCCGCCGACGGCTGGCCACATTCCTTGCTGTTTCCCTAATTGGTTATTTCTGGTCCTCCCAGTCACTTCTACTTTCTGCTCACAGGGCTGGAGAGAAATCACCCGATTAGATTATCTGCAGAAACATCAGCTGGAGAGTTAGGAAAGTAGGGTCTGTTTTCCATCTCTCCCCACCTCTCTTGGCTGGTTGCAATGACTGCCAAGCTGCCTACGTTCTTCAGTAGACCATCTGCTTCTTGGCTGGTTAAGACTTGCTTCTGCGAGGAAGACTCACCGTTTCCTTGAGGTTGTCAAGACAGGCTACTTCGAACTCCAGATGTGATGCTCATTAAGAAGAAAGAGAGCAAGAGAGTGTGCAGACTGCTCCCTGAAGGCTGCCTCGGATCTTATTCATCAGTCTTCCTTGGAAAGGTTCATGCCAACTCTCGGGGAAATGAAGGGAGGTTGAGGAGAAAGGGCAAGATGGGGTTGAGTCAACTCCAGAATCGGCGTGCGTCTTCTGCAAAAATGAACCCAAAGAAATGTTGAGTAAATTTTGCAAGCAAATGGAAGAAAGGAACATTAGCTGGAGGGGGAGTTAAAAATGAGAAAATCAGAGAGGAAGGACGCTTGAACACCAAGCTGAGCTTGGCTGGTCACTGAGAAACACTGAGTTCAGATTGAAAGGTTCTAACAAGGGCCAGAGAAATTTGCTGAGCTTGAGTGGCAAAGGCAACCACTTTCCAAGAGAACCTCTTCTGAAGAGATGCATGTCTCTGATTCCTTCCTGACCTTGGGCAAATCACAATCTCTCAGCCTCAGAGGATAGCAATGGCAAACCCACTCTGAAGAAATGCACTGTCACCATAAGTTGGAAATGACTTGAAGGCACAATACAACAGCAACAATTGCAGTACAGAGAGTAAGTGTAGCATAGTGGTTCCCATGTTAGACCAGGACTCTGGGAGACCAGGGTTCAAATTCCTGCTCAGCCATAGATGCCAATTGAGTGACCATGGGCCAGTCACGCTCTCTCAGCCTTAGAGGAAGGACATGACAAACCTCCTCCGAAGGAATCTTTCCAAGAAAACCCCACAATAGATTCACCTTAGGGTCATCATGAGTCCAAAATGACTTGAAGGCATGCAGCAGCAACCACAAATCTGCCATGCCGTGTTTCAGCATCCGAATTCAAAAGTATAGCTGTGTAAGTCTGGAAAATCAGTCTGCAAAGGGATCTTGTAGCACCTTTGTGACTAACTGAAAGAAAGAAGTTGGAGCATGTGCTTTCATAGACTTCAGCCTACTTCCTCAGATGCATGTTCAGCATCTGACTTTCACAAAGTACGCAGACT